CCTCGATACAAAACCTCTACCCCACTCAATGCTTTCCTCAGTCTCACCTCAGAAGTACCCCCCTACCACTTTGTGTTCGCTGCTGCTGTATTGCTGTCTCCCATGCATCCTCCAAGTGATACATGGTTCTTTGCCGAGCTGGGACCACAGGCTCAAACAGTGGCTGAGAGAAGCAGAAATGAAACATCCAAGGACACCACAAACCTACCTTCTCTTTCCTTTTACACCACAAACTTCTTCAAGTAACTGGTCTTTCAGTAGGAGCAATAAATAACTTTTTAGAAAAAAAGTCCTTACAAATTACCTTGCAGGTAATTCTGATTGCTCCAAACTGGTCATTTTCTTGAGGTAAAGCAGTTCACAGATTCATGAAGTCTATCAAAGAGAAGTGTGGACCAGGAGGGGAGGCCACAGGGCAGGTGCGTCCTCCACACACATGCCCTTCAGGGCTGGAGGAGCTGGTGGGATGGGCAGGAGACCATGTACTCAAAGGTCCAACTGGCCATTTGTCCTCTGCAGGAAAAGCTGCCAAGCTAGAGTGTTTTGTTGTAAGAATTCCTCGTGATAGCAGGGAATCCATGAAGGAAATGCATTTAAAAAATAAAAATGGAGAAGGAGAATGTAAGTTGTCCAAGAGCTTCTACATAAAAATTAAAAAAGAAAATTTCAAATGGATCTCAGGGTTCTGAGAGAAGAGACAGTGGAGGAAGCAGACAGTTTATATTGCACCACCACCATCACCATGCAGCTTAGCTGGCTTCCATCCAGAGTTTCTTCCTGTTTGGGAGCTCTTCAGTCTCCAACTCCAAGCTGGAGTCAAAGCCCTAGAAGTCAGAGACAGTAGTGTCCTTGGCTTTGGTGTTTTCCCTTGATTTGATAAGGATATCCTTGTAAGAAACCATAAGTCTGTTTAGAGAACAAAACGTGGAAACTTGGCATGCAGTGTCTTAGAATTCTAACCCAAACCCTGGATTACCAGGCTATTTATTCCCAATACATATTTTAAACACCAAAACGAGTGGGCCACCTCAATACCTGACATTTTATTTTACAATACAGTCATTAATTAAAAACAGGAAAATTTTCAATTAACTTGTGTCTTACAAAGATCTTGTCTGCTCTGTAGAGTTTAGATAGTACAAAGCCAAGGGGATAAGTCATGACAATTCTAGTATTTTGGGTGAGAGATTGGATCTGAGTAATAACGATGGAGGATGAGAGAATTAGTTGGAATTGAGATAATTTGAAGATGGAACTGATTTCCTAGCTTGACCTGTGGTTACTGTCAGGTGCATTATGAAAATCATAACTATCTTTGGCAGTTGTGCTGAACCTATGGCATGCGTGCTTCAGCAAGCTATTTGTCTCATTGAAAGCTTTAAAACGTTCGCCATCCCTGGTTTATGGGGTTGCACAATGTGCAAAGTTAGCAAACACGGGGTCATTGTACCACAGCCTGCGTTCTCAAGATCTTTGATTTTTCAGGGAGAGTGAGTTTTCTAGCGCAGGTCTGAGGGGAGAAGAATTTAAGTTGATTTAAGGCATTGCTATAGAAGCCTTACAAAGACCTCTTGAAGTAGTGCACACTGGGAAATTCAGTTTTTTAAGGTTTTCTTTTAAAATACACAGATGCTTATAGTTCCATTTGTAATATCCAAAACACTAGAAATAACTCAAATTTCTATCAGTTAACTGAGTAAATGTTGAGATACCTATACAGATATTCCTTGTTTAATGACCTGCCTATTTGATGACTGTTTGGACTTAAAACTGAAGTATGCTGTTCAGTCTTACAACTTGTAATTTTTTTGGATACAGTTCCATACATCTTGTTTATAGAACCTCAATGCCTTTTCTGTATACTACAGTATAGTATACTATGTTTTGTTATATAGGTTCTGTTATATATTACTGCACTGCGTGTAAGAGCTCTGCAAATAAAAGTAAAGTCACCAAGTTCTAATTTCCTTTGACCATTTCTTTGTTTTGAATATTGTTTTTTTGTTTTGTTTTGTTTGTTTTTCTTCCTGTACCAGGAGTCAAACTCACGACCTTGCGCTTGCCAGGCAGGTGCTGTGCCGCTGAGCTAAATCCCCAGCCGTTTTGAATATTGTACTGCACAAACTATATAAAATTCCTCATTTAGTGACCAATTTATTTAACCACCTAGTGACAGAAATGGAACTCAGTTGTGAAATGAAGGATGCCTGTAGCCTATTGTAGTTTAGGCACATTCATTAAGCATGTTGTGTAAATAAACAGCATTCGTAAATAGACAATGTGTGGGGGCTGGGGATTTAGCTCAGCGGCAAAAGCGCCTGCCTGGCAAGTGCAAGGTCGTGAGTTCAGTTCCCGGTACCGGAGAAAAACCAAAAAAAAAAAAAATAGACAATGTGTGCAAAATATGTAGTATTGGTATAATGTCTGATACCGGGAAAAAAGAAACTACCTGATATTTTTTGGATATGGAGGCAAAACAAGAACCTTGAGGAAAGTATATGGTTTGCCTGTTTTGATGCACAAAGGAGTGATTTGGAGCGTAATCTTAAGAGACTTACTGATCACATATGATACAGGCAGAATAGCTGTGCCAAAGAACCAGAAAAGTGTATCAGTGTACTCTATTGGGCTCTCTTCTAAGGACTATTTGCTTCCAGCAGTTCCTCGAGTGATAATGAAGCATTCATTTGGAGATAAATAATTTCTCAGATATAAACAAATTCTTTAGAAGCAATGTTGCATTTGAAACTTTTTGATATGTACAAATGTCCATACCATATGGGTGCACATATCTTCTCCAGGGTTATATGAACCACATGAAACAATTGAACAATTAATTACCACTGTTATCCTTGGCTCCGTGATTATTTTATGTGTTTAATTTTTGTCTTATACTCCTGGCTAGTAAGCTCCTTTACTATATACTTTATGTATCTTTCTATCCTCCTGGGTTTTTACTTCACAGGTGGACAGAGTGGTGGCTTTATTAATGCCGGTTTCACTGTCAAGGATTTTTGGCATTTCCAGTGATAGTTACAGAGCCAATCAGGTTCATTGTTCTGTGCTATCTTTTTAGTAGTATTTTAATTTCATGGGTCCCTTGTAATGACTGCAGATGCTCCTTCATTAATGAGCCAATATTGCAGTCAAACCACAGCTTCCAGCAGTATCAACTATATGACCAATGTAATGTTGAAGAATTCATGGAAATTGCTGCCAGGAAAGACTATGTGAAGAAATACAGGAATAGACCCTTCACTGATTTGCTTAAGATCATACATAGACTGCATCTACTTTGCAATGATTATTGATGAGCAGTTTGTATATCATTGGTATAAAATATCCTGGATTTTCTGAAAAATTTTCATCCCTGCCTTTTCTGACCTGTGAGGTATCCATACTGGCTGATCCCAGCTGATATGCTGAATTGTTTGTGGCCACTGTATTTTATTTTAAAGGTTACTGGAGTGCACGTGTTAAGAAAAAAAAAATCATTTTCATTGGACTATTTTGATAATACGTGTAATACAGAAATGCCTTAATGACTTACCTCTTCAATAACTTACAACCTGCTGCTCAGACTTATGACATCTTTTTTGGGGCACAGTTCTCTACATTTATAGAACTTCAATTTTTTGTACAGTACACCTTGTTTATACAAAGTACTGTATTTTTTGCTGATTGTAGTGTAGAATACTGTAGTTTTATGTTTTGTTACACATTACAGTACTCCTTGTAAGAGTTATGCAAATAAGAGCAAGTCATTAAGTTGGAGTGTCCATTGATCATTTTTTTCTGAATATTGTAATGTACATACTATATACAATGCTTCATTTAGTGAACGATTCAATTAACGACCTAGTCTCAGGAACGAAGCTCAGCTCGGTTGTTAAACGAGGAGTTTCTATATAATGGAATACTAATGAACAAGTAAATTATTGAAATAGAAAAGCTGAACTTAAAAAACAATCATGCTGTGTGAAAGGAGCTAGATTTTTAAAAGAATAACACACTGGATGATTCCATTCATAAAATGTACACTATAGTGACAAAAGAACAGTTCATGGGATGTGTTCTGTACCTTAGCAGGGTAAAGGGGCATGGTTGGGAGGACAATGGAAAGCTGGCAACTACTGTAATTGGTGCATCTCTCATACCATTTTTTTCCAGGTCTTGTTTTTTTTTTTCCAAAGTCATTTCCATCCGCCAGGTCCACTCAAGAGCTCCCCAGAGAATACTTGTACTGTAGGGGCACTGAACTTCCCGTATGATGGCCATGTCCACAGTTTTCCTACCTAACGGCCCAAATACTATATGGCAGGGGCACAGCACCAGCTTTTTGGGCCCAGCTTGCTTTCATAAAGCTCCTAAAATGTTTTACATTTAGAGTAGTGACTGAGGCGCCCAAACGTCATTTTAACTTCCCACCGAAGTCAGACACTGCAGCTTTAAGGACCGCTCGGAATGCCTGCGGGGCCTTTGTGGTGGTGGCGGGCTCTAGCCTTTGAAGCCGAGTTAACCCCAGCGGGGACAGGAAGTGACCATCTTCCGATGCTCTGTCTATGGAGAAGGATTTGCCCACACGCCTTGTCAGCTCTGTGTGACCTCGAGCCTCGGCCGATCCCTCCCACTTTCTGTGAGAGCCTCGGCACCTGGAAAGACACCGTTTCATATTTCTCTCAGGATCACTTCTGCTGGCCTTTCATTGGTCACAGGCGCAAAAACGACCGCTGCGCCTCGGCACGTCACGAGTCAAAGATGGCCACAGAGAAGAGTGGGCGGGCTTCATACGTCATCAGGAAGAGCCGGAAGCTGGCCTTCCGTTCCAGCTAAGGACACTGTCTGCCTTAACTAGTGTTTGCGGGAGAGGGGGCTGGGCGAGGAGGGCCAGGCTTGGAGGTTAAGGGAAGTGAGTTCCACCCTTAAGAGGTCGCTGCGGTGCAAGAGAGTCTGGTCTGAGTGTAGGTCAGTCCAGAATACGAGGCGGGGGAGGGATCATTCCGTAGGCATCTTTATATTTCCCGCGATAGGAGATAGCTGGGCGGGGGAGGAGGGAAACTTGTAGGAGTCCCTGAGGCGCCTGTAAATGAGATGTCTCTGTGGTGGTCGTGGTGGGCTCTGGTTGTCAGTAATTAAAAATCTGCATTTGCCAGCCGCCAAGAGTCCTGAGGTCGAGGAGTCCGGTCTTCGCGGGTTACTCCGTCTGTGGGACTCCATGATTGAGAACTTATTGGGTGATGTTTGCCAGGGAATGTGGCCCTTGGTTAGGGTTATGGATTAATTGGTGCTCCATGACCCAGGAACCGTTAAGGGGCGTCAGTGTACGTGTGAATCTAATCCGTATTTTGGAGTGGTGGTCACTCACTGTCTTGTGCACAAATTGAGAAAGCGGAGTTTTGGAGGCTCAGAAGCCCTGGCTGGTGAGTTTGTTGAACTCAGACTTTGGCTGCGGTAACACACTTGATTGGCGTTAAAACTTCCCCCAGTATTTAGGTCCAAGTTCCTCCTCCATTACTAATTTTCTAATCCTATGTTTTACCATATAGTCCGATCGTGTTGAGCACGCGGAAATTAAAAAGTTTGGAGATGAATGGTTCAGCATACTTAAAACCAATAGGATTTCTATTTAACAGTCTTTTTAGCTTTCTTTTCAGTTTACTGAATATTCCTTTCAGTTCCATATATGAGTGTAAGGATTGCTACTCAAGTGCTTATTTATTTTTTCCTTTTTAAGATAGGGCTTCACAGTATAGTTCAGGCTGGCCTCAAACTCTTGGTGAACCTCCCGCCTTAGCCTCTTGAATGCTGGGATTATAAACATGTGCAACCACAGCCAATTCCAGTGTTCATATTTTTTCAAAAAGTGTTTGTTTGTGTGTGTGTGTGTGTGTGTGTGTGTCTGTTATCCTCAGCCCACTTTTTAAAATTTTAAGATAGGGCCATGCAAAATTGCCCAGTTTTGGATCCAACTCCCAATTCTCCTGCCTCAGCTTCCCAGAATGCTGGGATTACAGGCATGTACTACCATGCTTGACTTTTAAATTCTTTTTTCATTTGTATTTTTGTTTGTTTGTTTGTTTTCATCCGGTACCAGGAATCGAACTCACGACCTTGCAGTTGCCAGGCAGGTGTTGTGCCGCTGAGCTAAATCCCCAGCCCCTACATTTGTATTTAAGACTTGTTTTTTCTTTCTCCGTTTCTCTCTCTCTCTCTCTCTCTCTCTCTCTCTCTCTCTCTCTCTCTCTGGTGTTCAGTTTTTCATATTGCAGTCTGTATGGGTATATAAACACTTTAAAGAGTTATGAAGGTAACATACTTCTTTTTTATTTTAAAGAAAGTAGTAAATGAGGAACAAAGAAATAGGACAGTGGCAGCATACCAGTATCACAAACAAATCAAAGCAAGAACATTCAAAGTGATACAGAGTCTCAAGACAAAATAATACAAATCGACAGTGGTTGTTATATTACATATCGCTGTGCTCAACTACATTGCTCAGATTACCAGATGTAAGAATGGAAGATTGCTCAAACCATTATAGGGAATAAGAATATAATTCTTTGATAAAACAGTAGAGATAATACAGTTTCACTAGACAAGATGGTAGGAGTTCACCATTGTAATTCCACTGCATACAGTTGAAGGCAACATACTTTAAAGGGAAAAAATATATAGTTCCTTACTATCTTTCTGATCTAATTTCTAAAATTGATCTAAGAATTACCTGTGACTGAGACATAGTGCTGAGCTGATTCTCCATTGCCATCTATGCTTTCACATTTGTACTTCTTCCAGCTTCAAAGAAGAAAGGCAGACCTTCCTTGCATTCAAAGTTTTATGGTTTGGCCTGAGGTATGAAATTGTCTAGGGAACCACATAAAGAGAAATATTGGAGGTCGTGCTTTAAGGTAAATAGCAAGAGGGAATGTACCCTTGAAACTTGTTTTTGCTGTTTATTCTGCAGGTCCTGGCCATTCCAGTAAGGGATAAAGAGTGAATGAAGAAAGACTTCCAGGATGTATCTATCATTTCCGGAGACATCCTTCATCAGTGACTGAGATTATTAGGGCACCTACAGGAGAGACACAGAGTATCCAGTTGACCATTTCCCTAAACAGAAGAAAATGACCAATGTTTGGGTGACTTTTGTCTCATTTTATTCTCTCCTTTATTTGCTAATGGATTTCCAAATGCCCATAAAAATCATTTCAGGAATTATCTAGAGAGGAATATATTTTGTGTCTAACATGGCAAAGTAGGATCAGGAATGTGGTGTTCACATGATTTCTACTAAATGCCAAATGTTGGAATATCATGTGTAAAAGAAGAATCTTGTGGGTAGCAGTAGTTTTCAGCTTGTGCCTAATATCTTTCAGCTTGTGTCTGATATCGCTGAAGCCAGGACACCAAGAGAATTGTGTTAAGTTACATGTGGTACACAGTGACTGAGGAGCAAGCAAACAGGCTCTTGAGGAGATGGCAGTACATATTTCGTGGTGCTTAGGAGTTCACCCAAAGTACTCAGCTTTGTGTCTGACTAAGCTTATCTAGGAATAAAATCTAAATGTGTAGGGCTCTCAGCTATCTTGAACAGGTGGCTAAACTGGCATTTAAGTACATACAGATATAACATTAGGGAGTTGAAAGAAATATGGTCTGATAAGGGCTTGAGTTACTGGATTCTTTAGTATTTGCTTTGTAACTTCATCAGAGAACATATAGAGTCCTTCATTTTCAGATCCAATTCTGACCTACTTTTATTCCTTTTACTTTTTGTAATTATATACATTACTCCTTGATACACTTTATTTCATTTCATTTTATTTATTTTTTAAACAGGGTCTTGCTACATAGCCCAGGCTGGCCTTGAACTCATGTGGTCCTCCTACCTCAGCTTCCCAAGTGCTGTGATTACAGATGTGTATTAGCATGCCTGGCCTCACTGATACACTTCAAAGGGAAAAAAATTTAAAAATGAAGTGCCTTAGACTAAAAGTAAATTCTCTCTTCAGTTGGGTGAAGTGGTATGCATGCTTCTGTTATCTAGTTGCACTAGAGATTGAGATGAGAGGAACACTTGAGCCCAGGAATTCAAGACAAACTTGGACTCTATAGTAAAACCCTATCTCAAAAAAATTTTTTTCTCTTTTTATTCTACATTTCTGCCTTCTAATGTTCTCATCCTGGTCTAGCAGTTGTTTAGTATTTAGCTATTTCTGAATTTGTGTGTGCATTTACATATGTATATTTACAAATATATGTTCATCTGTGTACGTAAACACATACAGTGGTACCTTGGCCACATTTGTGTTTGTGTGGGAAAGATGGCCATGGTCATGTTTGTCCCCCAATATAGATAAAACAAAATTTTGCCAAATGCTTCTGTTTGTGAACCAAACTGTTCTCAAACAAAAGCATGTTTTTTGAGGTACCACTGTATTTTTTTTGCACCACTGAAATCATACTCCAAAGAACGTAGCCTGTTAGCTTGAGATGATGTCATTTAAAGACCTAAAGGAATAATGGTGTAGTGAATTGAATATTCACTATTACACTTCCATTTTTCTATAGTCATACTAAAGAAATGAGTTAATGTACATATGTAAATCATTGACATGAGTACCTATCACATAGCAATATGCAGACTCATCTATACTTTCAACCTTTTCCAGTACTTAATGGTATTTCCAACCATCTTAGTGGCCTGATATTCTTTTGCCTCATTTTGCATTTTTTTTCCATTGAATATGAAGGTGAAAGGTGTGTATTTTTTTTCCCTGTCTTTTTGGAACAGGCTGTCACTATACAGTTCAGGCTGGCCTTGAGCTCACTTTGTAGCCCAGGCTGGTCTTGAACTCACAATGATCCTTCTGCCTCAGCCTCTCGAGTGCTAGGATTACAGGTATGAGCCACCATGCCTGGCTCCTCTGTGTATTTCTTGTCCAATGTTTTTTTGGGGGTGAAATACCTGTCCTTATTTTTACATTAAAAATCTTTTTTTTTTTACTGCTCAGTAGAAGTTATTTATATCCACCATATATTGATCCTTTCTTTCTTTTATTGCAAATATTTTTCTAACTTGTCAACTTTCTCTTAGCCCTGTTTTTAGTATCCCTTCCAGCATAGGCATTATTTTTCCTTTGATAAGATTTGTCACCTTTTCCTGTTGTATAACTTCTGGACATGCATTTTCTAAACGGGTTTCCAAATGGTTTCACGTGAAATAATTCAGAATGTGATAAGATCAGCAGCATTAGGATTTTGCAGCCTCAGTGCAGGCATGGTGTTGCACAACTGTTGCCCAAGATACTTTGGAGAATGAGAGGCAGGAGGATCATTTGAGCCCAAGAGTTTGAGGCCAGCCTGGGAAACGATTGCAAGTCTCTATTTCATTAAAAAAAAAAATTATCCCTCTAGCAGCTCTGTTCTCTTCTCTAGGTAGTAATCTCTGCAGTAACATGGGGATGGATAATCTCATCACTTTACCCCCAGGGTCTTCCCTGCCTCAGTTTCTCACACTGTCATGTGATTGCAAGCTATGTTGAGACAGAAGAGTGGCAGTTAATCATCAAGCAGTTCATTCTCTAGTGGCATTCAGGGCTAGGCAGCTTTGCCACATGAGCAGGACATTGAAGATACTATTCTATACTTTTTTTGGAGTATATTTTGTTTGCAGAAGTCACCTGTCAGTATGTTTTATCTTTCTTGTAGTTATTTTTATTTTTTAATTTTTATGGGGTTTTTTTGAGACACAGGGTCTTAAATTTGTAGTTTAGGCTGGCCTTCAACTCACTATGTAGTCTAGGCTGGCTTCGAAATTGCAATGATCCCCCTGCCTTAGCCTTCCAAGTCCTGGGATTACAGACGTATGCTACTATGCCTGGCCTTTTTTTTTTGATGCTGATGTCTTTCTAGTTTTTACAATTTCATATTTGCATCTGGTATTCTACAGCTTCCATTTGATTTAGCTACATGGAGATTTCCTGTTTGGCTTTACTAGTTTACTGATTCTGAGTTATAGGGTGTTTTATCAGTTTTGAAAATTTCTCACTCCTTAGATCTTCATATATGCAGTCTATATTGTTAATATCAGCTGTACAACTTCCTTTATATTTCTTACGAATCAATAAAGAAAAAAGTCATTAAGGAGCATTCTATTATTATAGGAGCCATTGACACTGGAGGACGTGACTGTGATATTCACAGAGGAGGAGTGGCAGCTCTTGGATCCTGCACAGAAGAATCTATACAGGAATGTGATTTTGGAGAATTACAGCAATCTGGTATCAGCAGGTAAGGACAGTTGCCCTGTGTCAACCAAGGGTGCTTTATGTGGCCTTGCCTTTAACAGCTACCTAATGTATCAGAGCCTCTGCAGTGATTTCAAGTGGCAGACCCTTAGCTCCTAAGAGAGTGCATTGTGCTCTCTCTCTCTCCTGACAGGTGCAAAAACTGTCCAATTCTTTAAAAGTAACCCTCTCCCATGGTGACATATCCCAGCCCAATCAGTGTGTACAAATCATCTCTCCTCATTTCTCCACAAACAGGGTATCAAGGCAGCAAGCCAGATGCACTCTTCAGGTTGGGACAAGGAGAGCCTTGGACAGTAGATGAAATGTACAGTCATATCTGTCCAGGTGAGTGAATGAGAACCAGCAATATGTATAACCGTAGAATCCTGATTCAGTGAGTCAGTCAGAAGGCTGTGAGCGTGTCTGAAGATACAGAAACAGCCTCCCTGGATTCCTCTTCCTAGCTTAGAACATTTCTTTTAGATCTTTAGAGGGAAGTAAACCTGCTGGTTGGTTTTTTTTTGCTTATTTTATCTTACATCTTGCTTTTTGTTTGTTTGCCTAGTTTTCTTCTTGAGTTCTCTCATCTTCACCCTCTTTAAATTCTTAGTGTCTCTACATCTCTATTCCAGTCTCCCTTTGAAGGTTCGTCTTCCAGACCGCACTCTCTAGAAGTCTTAGATTCGTCACTGTCTTTTGACTTGTGCTTTCCCGTCCCACTGGAAAACACTGTTCTGCTTCCTAAAAGCCAACCGCACCTTGTATATTGTGACTGCACAGTAAGTCTGATCTTATTGCACATTTATGTGGTTCTTAGCTGCTTTTTCCTCCCTCTCTGACTCTTCAGTGGTTTTACTTGCCATGTTCACCTTCTAATCCTTAAATTTTATTTTCTCTTTTTTAAGCTTTATCTTTTCTCTAGATGAGACTTCCAAATTGACAGTTCCCTAATATTGTCTAAATGTACACTTCAGTTCTGCATATTGTAATGTTCTCTATGGCAACCAGCTATGACTTTCCAGTTGTTGAGTAAAGAATAGGAATCTTACTCCCTCCACAAAATACCATTTCCACCATCCTGTATTAAAGATAAGAGTATCCTTAACTATCATACATCTTCGTTCTCTTCATGTTGATGTTGGATTTTGCATATTTTCTATCTACAAAGGCCTCTTCTTAAAAGATCTTTGCTATTTCTATGGACTGTTTAACTTGAAAGGACTTTTTATATCCTACATCACTTCCAATATAAACTTGATCAGAACTTATGTCTGCCTTAGTGTATTTCCTCTATATGTTTGATAGTTTGATTTTTCTTCTGTTCATTTTAGATTTTGAGATGTATTCATTTCCCTAAGTCATTTGTTTTTCCCTTTATATTTTTGTATTTATCAAACAGCTTTATTGAGGTAATTTATATATCATATAACTTGCTAATTTAACACTTACAAATTAGTGTTTTCTGGTATATTAATGAGCTTATATAGCCATTTACCCGAATTTGGAAGATTTTCAATACACTTAAAACCCATTTCTGTCACTCAGCATAGTGGCACATGCCTACAGTACCATTAGTCAGGAGTTTGGCATGAGTTTGAAGCCACTCGGGGTTACAGAGTGAGTTCAAGGCTATCCTGGACTATATAGCAAGACCTTGTCTCAAAAAACACCAAAATCAAAACAAAAAGCCCATTTCATCCCAAGCCCTGAGCCCTAGGTACCACTAATTTACTTTCTATCTATAGATTTTCCTGTTTTAGACATTTCATAAAAATAGAATCATAAAATATGTGGTCCTTTCAGTCTTCTTTCAAAATTGGTGTGCTTCTGATACTTTTCCGTGTTCTAACAGGTATCAATACTTCATTCTTTTTCTAAGTAATATTCCATTGTGTGGAAATGCCCATTTTATTTATCCATGTCTATTGATGGACATTTGTATTGTTTCAACTTACTAGCTTTTATGAATCATACTACTCAGAACATTTACGTACAACCTTTTTATGAACATACGTTTTCAATTTTCTTGTGTATTTACCTATGATTAGAATTCTTGGGTCATATGGAGTCTAAGAAGGATCCATGTTCTCTTCAGTATGACCTACTTATGTAAAATGAGCTCAGTTTCCATGACAAAGCCTTTTCCATATTCACTATATAGATGTGTTTATCTTTTATACAAATTTGCTGATGTACCAATGAGATAATGTGCTTCCGGTTGTCTTCTTGCATTGCACATGTAGATAACATTATCTTTCCTGGTCATAGTTGACAATGTACCCAAAGTACTGTCAACTGAGGAAGCTCACTTGAATCTTTGGTGTCCTGAGCTTTTCCTAAGCTTCACATACTGCCACGTAGCTGATCTTTAGTCTTTTGTCTCTCTCCAAAGTCAGGCCTGTAGTTTCTAGTTCCTTTAAAGGAGAGAACTGTATGGCAGGGCCTAAAGCCCCTATCATAAATGTCATAGTCCATCAGAAACAGGTAGTGGCCACACTTTCTTGCGTGAGGTTAAATCTTCACAACACAGGAGTAACTATAAAAATGAACAGTAAGGAAAGTGGTTAATTTAGAAACATAGAGGAAGTAGGCCTTACAATGTTATAATCAGAAAGAATGGGAGGATGACATGTACAAAGTATACCTATATTTTGAATTAGGAAGATGAGGGATAAATTAGGAATGATGGCATGAAATGTGCAAGGCCATGGGGTTGACTATCAATAGTTTGTCCTGAAGTTGACGAGATGAGAGCCAATGTTAGAGAACACAATAGTCATAGTAATGGAAACCTTTACTGCCCAGATGACTGTTTAAGTTTTAGATTGTTTGTGGAACTGTGGTAAGATGATAGAAGTTTGATTAGTTTTGTCGTTCTACATCCCTAAGTACTCTTATCTTTCACATGGGTGGTTGCAGTGTAGCAATAATAAGCAACAGTTAAATCTAAGAAAAATGGAAGAGAAAATTGGCACAACTTTGGTTCAGAAGGTAGAAGTTGTTATCCTTTGGTACAGCTTAACCAGTACTAAAATGAACAGTATACAGTATCACAGACATTGAAATGGGAAAATTTGGCTGTGAGTTCATTACTGTATGTAGAGAATGTGTTTGAAGATAACAGTTTTCATATTCCACGCAATAATACATTACCTTCTGAAGAAATCTACATAGTATGCCAGCTACTTGCAAACTTCCCCAACAATCATTATTTCCCTGTTTCATTATAAGTGTAATGTATGTAACACAGCACAACTACACCAAAGGTTAAAATGTTGAACTGTGCTGATACTGTGGGAAAGTTCATTTGTAGTGGTTTACATATCAAAAAGAAAATTTAGAACTAGGATTACCACATAGAAGTTTGTTTCAATTCATTTTAATTCATATTCTACAGATCTTACATTCTTACTTGTTAGGTAACAAATATATTCTATACATTTTATTTTGCATATTTTTTTCTGATAGTTTTCTGATATCTGTAGCCAGAGTTTCATTCTTCTAAATGGGATTGAGGAATCTCCAAACTCAAATGCAGGAATGTCTGAAAATCTTGATTTTATACTGTCATTTTTCATTTTACATGTCCTCCCAACATATCATCCAGCCCTCTTTTTTTTCCTTTGTGGTGCTGGGGATCAAACCTACAGTCACATGTATGAAAAACTTATGACTCTATAAGTGAACCATGCTCCTAAACTAGTTTCTCTTTTCTTGAATAATATGTATATATTATTATCACATGGATATCTCCATTTATATTTTGAGCTAGATTCTTAATGATAGTATTACATACTTAAAATCAGTCCTGCAGGGCATGGTTGCACAAGACTGTAATCCCAGCACTCGGAAGGCTGAGGCAGGAGGATTGTTGCAAGTTTGAGACCAGCCTGGGCTACAAAGTGAGCTCAAGACCAGCCTGAACTTCATAGCGAGACCCTGTCTCAAAAAGACAAAAAAATAAAATCAGTCCCAAAGTTCATATTTCACTTTTGCATACTTTATTCTAAAGGTTCTGGACTTAGTAATACTCCTCATCTCATTATGAGAGTCTTCTACCTCCTCAGTGGCTCAAGCCGTATAGTTAGTGAAATAATCCTTGATTCTTGACTTTCATTAACTATTCTCCCCTTTAAAGCCATCATTTAACTTTGTGTTTTCTTTTTACCAATATGTATAAAATATAGAAACTTCTTTCACCATCTCCGTTGCTTCTTCCAATTATATTTATCATCTGCAACTTCCTTTTTTTCTTTTCTTTCTCATTTTTTTTCCATAACTAGAATTTGAGAAAAGTTAAAAAAATACATATTTTGTATATCGTAAACATCAGTAGAGTGTTTTTTCTATGGAAGTCATTCAATAAAATATTTGTAGAGTGAGTAAATATAATCTTTATCATTCTGGATTAATGTTCCATCTTTTTGGTCTGATGTCTCCTTAAGTTTTGTGGAATTAGCATTCCTACTAACCCAATTATTTGCTAACAACAATGACTTGCTTGTATCCTATTGTGTTTACATGTTTTGCAAAGTGCTATTTAGAAAAGTGCTATTTCGCTGAGTGCCTACAGATTGTTAACTGGAAAACTTTATATATGCACTGTTTTTAACTTTTGGTATGTTTATATTTTGTTTTTAACCAATAAGTAAGAAATAAGTAAAAATTATATAGGGAGTTGCTTTTATACTATTATCATAGTGTCATCATTAACAAGGCTTTTAAAAATTTTTTCCTTGAAGTGCTGGGGATTGAACCCAGAACCTTCTGCATGCTAGGCAGGCATGCTACCACTGAGCTACATTTCCAGCCCAAACACCGTTATTTATTTATTTTTATTTTTATTTTTATTTTTTTGTCTTTTTGAGACAGAGTCTCACTATGCTGTTCAGGCTGGCCTTGAGCTCACTTTGTAGCCCAGGCTGGTCTCAAATGCTCAACAATCTTGCTGCTTCAACCTCACAAATATTGGGATTACAGGTGTATACCATGATGCCCGGCTCAAACACAATTTTTTAAAAACACCAAAGAACCTTTCACAAGTTTAGTCCACATGAGCTATAATTCATTGTTTTCTTCTTTTGTAGAAAATGACCACGTTGGTAATCATCTACAAGGTGACATGAAAAAGCAAAGAATACTAAAGAATATGGAACAGTACCATAAACATAATGCATTTGGAAATACTGTTCTTCAAAGCAAAAGTCATTTTGTGTTACATATAAAAACTTTCAAGTCAAATTTAAGTTTTGTCAACCAGAACAAAAACTATGAAATTGAGAATATTAGTAAATTTAAAGAAAATGTGGAGACATTTATGAATGGCAAGTGTGAACAATTTCATTCTGCAGTTAAATTCTCTCTAAGTAGGAAACCCATTAATAAGTCCCAAGCCATTAAGCACCAAAAATCTCATGAAATAGAGAAAAACCATGTATGCAGTGAATGTGGGAAAGCCTTTGTCAAGAAGTCTCAGCTTACTGATCATGAGAGAGTTCATACAGGAGAGAAACCTTATGGGTGCAATATGTGTGCAAAAGTATTCTCCAGAAAGTCCAGGCTCAATGAACATCAGAGAATTCATAAGAAAGAGAATCCATTTACATGCAGTGAATGTGGAAAAGTCTTCACCATGAAGAGCCGTCTGATTGAACATCAGCGAATTCACACTGGCGAGAAACCCTATGTATGCAGTGAGTGTGGAAAAGGGTTCCCAGGCAAGCGTAATCTCATTGTACATCAGCGAAATCATTCTGGAGAGAAGTCCTATGTATGTAGTGAGTGTGGAAAAGGCTTCACTGGGAAAAGCATGCTTATCATACATCAGCGAACTCATACAGGAGAGAAGCCCTACATCTGCAGTGAATGTGGGAAGGGCTTCACCACAAAGCACTATGCTATAATACACCAACAAAATCATACAGGAGAGAAACCATACATGTGCAATGAATGTGGGAAAGGCTTTACCATAAAACGTCGTTTGATGGAACATCAGCGAATTCATACAGGAGAGAAACCATATGTGTGTAATGAATGTGGAAAAGGATTTCTTAGGAACAGTAATCTCATTGTACATCAGAGAAATCATATTGTAGAGAAATCATATGTGTGTAATGAATGTGGAAAAGGCTTCACGGTGAAGACTGCCCTCATCATACATCAGCGAACTCATACAGGAGAGAAACCCTTCATTTGCAGTGAATGTGGGAGAGGCTTCCCTTTGAAGAGTCGACTGGTTGTACATCAGCGAACACATACTGGAGAGAAGCCTTATAAATGTAGTGACTGTGGGAAGGGTTTCATTGTTAATAGTGGACTAATGGTACATCAGCGAACTCATACTGGAGAGAAACCCTATGTATGCAATAAATGTGGAAAAGGTTTTGCCTTTAAGAGCAATCTTGTTGTACACTGGCGAACTCATACTGGAGAGAAACCTTTTATGTGCGGTGAATGTGGAAAAGGCTTTACCATGAAACGTTATCTCATTGTACATCAGCAGATTCATATAAGAGAGAAGTCCCATCTATGTAGTGAATGTGGAAAAGGCTTTGTCATGGAAACTGAGCTCATTTTGCATAAGCAGGTTCATACTGGAGAGAAACCATATGCATGCAGTGAGTGTGGTAAAGGCTTCACTGTGAAAAGCCGCCTAATTGTTCATCAAAGAACACATACAGGAGAGAAACCCTTTATTTGCAGTGACTGTGGAAAAGCCTTCTCCTCAAAGAGAAATCTCATTGTACATCAGCAAACTCATAATGGAATCAAACCCTGACAATGCAATGAATAATGCTCATACCTTTAGGAAGAAAGTATGTCATGTACAACATTAAATATTTCACATAGGATAGACTTCATATATATTGAATGTGGAAATTTCTACCACATTGAAGTCTAATTATTCACCAGAGAATTTAGACAGAAGAATTTAATGCTATCACTGTGGGAAAATCCTCAACATGAATTGTCTTCTTAAATTCTTTGATGACCCAGTGTAATCAAAGAACTCATACTAAAAAGGAGACTGGATTTAGCAGTTGGGGCTAACCTCATTTATCAAGTTTCATTAAAAATACACTACATACGTAAGCAGTGTGTTATGTCAGGGCACATAATCCTTTGCACATAATCTGAATTCATTATGTACAAGCAAACTCATGAGGGGCAAACTGTATTAGCACTTGAACTCATATATTAGTGTGCTTCTAGCATACATGAGTACTGTATAGTGTACAACAGCATGTTAAGGTATGAAATTAAATGTCTATAGAGAATATGCTAGTGCCTTAAGTGACTAAGTCATACTGTATGTCATAGGAAAACCTCTGATACATTCAAAGTAGAAATGTCTTGAAAAATTTCTAAGTAATTACATGTCTTAAGTGTATATGGATATACAATACATATGAATAGGGAGACTAAGAAAGCCTTGTATGGGAAGAAAGGTACTTTCTCATTGGTGATCAAAATAGATTATCAGTGAGCTGAAACAGTAGTGACATAATGATCATAGGAAAGCCTTTGCCCAGAAATGATAACTTTGTAATGATGTATTTCATACTGAAGAAAAATTTCAGGTGGCAATGTATATGGCAGGATTTCAATGATATATTCTGTCTCATTATTTATCATTAAGACACAGAAATAAAACTAAGAACACACTAAAAGTATAGTAACTAGTAAAGTCAGGTGTTTACAAAAGTAAAGAAGCTTCATGAAAATGATATATTTTGAAGGACTTTTTATCACAAGGCTAAAGTTATCACACACCTGATAACCATTTGGCTCATAAAGTTTTCTCAGTGATTCCACCATTTTAAAATGGATTGTTCTCAGTTGGGTGTCATGGTACACACCTGTAATTCCAGCACTGGGAGTTTGAGGCAGGAGGATTGCCATGAGTTCAAGGCCAGCCTGGGTTACATAAGGAAGTTCAAAGCCAGCCTGTAGTACATACCAAGATCCTGCCTCAAGGAAAAAATAAATAAGTAAAAACAAAAAAATATTCTCAATCAATTAAATTTTAATGTTATATAAAAGGCATGTGTGTTCAGTGCCCATTTTGTATCATTACATTATTAGTTTTTCCATATGGTAGGCTCAGAATTGTGGGGAGCGGCTGAAGCTGGAGGTTAGTCATGTATGCAAGAGCACCTGAGGCTAGCCATGTGAACAAGCTGCACCTGTCTGGAGAACACCAGGTGCCTGTGGCAAGCCAAGCAAATAGTTTGCTAGGCAGAGGGGTGTCACATGACATTAATCTGATGAGTGTATAAATAAGTGTGTTGCAGTGATTGAGAAGTCCTTTTTCTCCTATCAGGAGGGGAGGCTCCACCTGACCTCAGCTTTCTGTATTCTGACTCTTGTCTATTTCTTCATGGTTCACCACCCTTCACCCTGAAAATTTTATAGCATTGTGCCGGCTGTGGCTCACAATTTGTCTATTACTGATGTACTTCAAAAGTACATTAAATTCATAAATGTAATTAAATACATTGGTATTTATCAAGGTTTATAAGTAGCATTAGGTAGTAAACAAAAATACCTTAAATGATTTTACAGTTTTGAAATAATTTTAGATTGGCAAATTATAAAATGTTTCTTAGTACCCTTGACATAAATTCTTAAATGCTACTATCTTAACCATAATACAGCATATAATGAAAAGCAATTAAGATAACAGCACGTTTTTATTGTTTTGGTGCTGAGGATCAAACACGGCTTTAGGTATAGTATGTGCATCCTCTATTGCTAAGCAATAGCTCTACCTTATAGATCAGTTCTAACTACACTACAGACCTTATTTGGGTACTTCATTAGTTTTTCAGTGCATTGGAAGGTGTGTTTTATTATTTTTGTGTGTATGTATAATTCTAAAAATTTTTATAAAGTACAGATTTTTGATAATTCCACCAAAATTATAAACTACAAGGAAACATCCTCCTGTTCTATTACCTTTTAATACTCAAACCCTTTTCTCCTAACTTGCATGGTCACTGCTGATAGTACTCAACCACTCTAATTTTGTTGAGAATGCTATTAAATTGGAATCGTACGATATGTGATCTTTGCTATAAGTGCCTTTTCACTCAGCACATTGCCATCCAAACCACTGAATGTATAGTTTTTGTTATTACTGAATAGTATTTTCTATGGGTATGCCATAGTTTTTTTTCTGTTCACTATTGATAGATGTTTGGGTTGTTTTCAGTATTTTGCTGTTATAAAAATGTAAATATTTGTATACCTAATTTTGTGTGAATATAGTGCTCACTTCAGCAACACATATACTAATTTTGTGTGAATATAAATTTTTCTTTTCTGAGTTGAACACTCAAGAACATGATTGCTGGTTCATAGGATGTTTGGGTTTAACTTAATAAACTGTCAAACTTTTCCATAGTGCCTGTACTAATTTACATTCCCACCAGCAACAGATGAGTATTCTGTTTGTTCCTTATTACTTTTCTAGCAATTGGCACTATCTTGGCCTTCCTGTTAGATTTGTGATGTATATGATCATTGTCTTAACACATTCCTGCTGGCTTGAATCACTGGTAATACATGCATGACTGTCTCATTGGGTGGCCACCTGATAGAACTGTCCCATGCCACTCAATGGGAGAGTCATGCGTGTACCACCAGTGGTTGAGAGCTGCCCACCATCAAGACAGGAATTACAGTCCCAGAGTGATCATGTTAACATATTTTGCTATCAGCAAGTGATGGTCAAAACATCTATATTCAGTGAGAACCATGTAAAAGGAAAGTATAATTTTTGCTCTCTGTTTTCATGAGAAACCACTTTGAAGATATCTTTATGTAATACAACAAGCACTGTTAATTTCCTACCACTTTGTTTGTAATTGCATTGTCTGTACTATTATTTTGCTATTTTGTAAAGATTGTTGGTCTGTTAATGTTTTCCTCCTTTTATTTTTAAAATTAAAAAAAAATTTGCACTCAACAAATACAAATTTTAAAAGTCAAAAGTATATATTTGATGATTGCTAATATTGTTTCCTTTTTTATCAGAGCTTTATCAGTTCTTTTTGAGCAAGTCTGCTGGCAAATATATTCTTAGTTTTTGTATGGACAGGGCTATTGTTCTGTCTTCTGTAGCCAGAATTATTTCCCTTTATAGCTAAAGTAGTGGATATTTGCCATATAGTGGTGTAGAAAAATTCAGTCCACAAGTCAATGTTAGTAATTTCACCCTTTAAAAGAAGTGGTTCTGAGCTTCTGTCCTATGGCAGATGTTGGAGGCCTTGGTATATCAATGAACAAAGCAAGCAAAGTGGTGTCCGTGATGGAGCTGAGCTAAACCTGAGTGAAATAAATACAAAACAGAAGTCAGCTATCATTAGTGCCAGGAAGAACTAGAAAGCCCAATAAATCCATCAATTGTAACTGAAGAGGCATTGTACTTATTTTCAGGCCAAGTGTTTTGAACCAATGTAATTTGAGCTAAAATTCAAGTGTTGGGAGAGGCAGATAGCATTTGTAAGTCGAACACCATGCAATTGTTTCTAAGGGTTTTATCTGAGACCCTGACTCAGCATCCTCTGAGAAGCTTGGAAAAGAGCAACTTTATGAATCATACTCCAGATCTCCTAAACTAGATCTTCTGAGATTGGTGCCCAGGATTCTGAACGTCTAAAAAGAACTTTCTCAGGGTTGGGGTGTAGCTCAGTGGTAGAACCCTTACCTAGCATGCGTGAGGTATGTAGTTCAATCCCCAGTGCTACACAATACAGAGATAAAAAGAACTCTGATTTATACTTAAGTTTAGAACATCTCTGCCCTAAATTGTAGAGTCAAAATGATATGTGGCCCAAAGCCTCAGGCATACACAAACAGTTGTCTACCTCAAATCACAGTGCTACCATGAACTGTCTTGTGTGGCTCAAAGCCTTGGACATAAATGGGCACTCTTGTCAGTCAGATATTCCAGACTCCGGGCTTATTTTCAAGAGCTAGTCAAGGCCAGTGCTTTCTTTAGAATTTGCAAGGATGGAATAACCCAAGCCTACTAACATTTCATTGCACATCATTGCTCCTTTTTTCTCTAAGCCACTAGTTTGAACCTTGACTGTAGAATCTTTCATCTGATTTGGGTTCTGTCTTAGTTACTTTTCTCATTGCTGAGACAAAATACTCGACACCCAAGTTAAAAGAGGAAAAGTTTATTTAGCTCACAGTTTGTGGAGGTTTCAGTCTATAATCAGCTGGCTCCCAGGCATGGTGGCACATGGCAGAAGGGCAACAGTTCATGGCAGTGGAAGTAAAAGCAACCAGAGAGAATGAGATAAGCCTTTTTCTGTCACTTATACTGTATAAATCTACCCATCCTAGGGTGAGTGTAGCACTCACATCCCTGATCTCAGCATTGGACCATGAATCAACCACAAACTAGATTCAGCTGCCTCTGCAAAGCCCACCCCTTATGACTGCATGAGGCTTTGGGAGGTATCCAGACATAAACCGTAATGGTCAGAGGCTGGAGGGGGGAGTAGCTTAGTGTAAAGCATGTGTAAGGCTGTAGGTTTGATTCCTCCTATAACAAAAAAGATTGAGATTGGTTCCCTTTTTTTTCCACAAGGGGGGTTGAAATGTTTAGTCTCTTGTGTTAGCAATTTTCAAGTGAATTGCACATCTTTACTCATCACTCTGGGCATTGGTTCATGTATAGGTCTCCAGATGTACACCTATTACAATAGTCAGTATTTAGTTCATTCTTGTGGGCTTAGCACATTGGGAACACGGCCAAGATCCCCAACTTCCTGTATGAGGGGTATGGCAAAGGATGATGAAAAAACAAAAAAATTTAGTAATTCATGAAAGGAGGGCTGGGAGGTCAATGACTCGGGATGGACAGAGACAATGACACTCCAAGCTAGCCACTATTTATTTGGAGCATACAATGATTGGAGGGAGTATTGGATGACTTAGAGGGCAGTTGTGATTTTAAGATGATGAGAATCTTATGTTGATGAGGATCAGTTTGGATGACTCAGAGGTAAAACAATTAAAAGGTAAAAACAGTCTGTAAATGGGAAGGGGACAAAAGAGATACAGAGATAAGTAGGGGGAAGGGGCGGGAGAGGAAGGGAAGAGAAAATAAAAATTTGAATTTTTATTCAAATAGTGAATAAAAGTAGTGATCTTATGCTGATATAATCTTGCCCTGGAGCGTTACAACATCATGGGACCATTAAGACCTCCGTTGAGGCCTCTGGCTCCTAGGCTTTATTTATAATTTGTGGCTCCCAAATTGACAGATTATAGTACTCTATATGTTGGAAAGAATAACTTTTAGGCTCTTTGCCTATACTTTCATTTGTTCTAAGTTTTCAAATACAATCTCATTCACTTAGAGTAATTGTATATGTTGATGGCAGCCACATTACTATTTTCAGATGAGATCTTTTTCAATATTTTATATCCAGCCAGTTTCTTCATGTTTTTACTTGGAGAGGTAGCAGTCATCTGAAATTTCACATGTTTTACACACACACACACACACACACACACACACACACACACACACATATATGCTAGATTTGCCCTTCATTTGAGACTTCAGTAATATTTCTTATTTCATCATGAGCTTTCCCTCCCTTCCTCACGAGCGGCTGAAGCCATGCAATTTTTGGAATAATCTTTAAATCCTCACTTTCATTTACCCTCTTCCTTTCCTCCCATTGAACCTATTCTTGAACTTTGGCTTTTCTTTCTTTATCGATGTCCTGATTTGCTTCACCTTCTAAATCTCTGTTGGTCTTTTACCCACATTTCTCAATCTTTAATTACCTTCTTTATTTCTTTGCTTCCCTGTTTAATTCTTTTTTCCACAACTAGAATTAAAGCTCCATGAGAAAAGGTCTGTATATTCCAGACATGAGTACAGTAAATATACATAT